CTTTTTTATGGGACTCTAATACTGTTCCATGACATTTTGAGACAGAAAAAGTACAATTGCCTTTTTTATTGTATGTACCTTTGCCAGAGATTTTCATACTTTGACTCAAGGCAGATCATTCACTTGAGATGATTCAGTTCATTCATTACTATTTCATACTTTGACTCAAGGCAGATCATTCACTTGAGATGATTCAGTTCATTCATTACTACAGAGAGCATTGAGAATAAGCCTAATGAAGTTATAACTTGCAATACATCATAACTCTTCTTTTTCTCAACCCCCCCCACCAAAGAAAGGAAGAATGGTATGAAAATCATGGTAGTTGAAATAGTAATAGACATCTATTGAAATTTATGTTTTCACTGGTCCATTTTCCTTAAGGTTGTTCTAGTGTTCTATTTAAAAGGCAAATCTTAGATTCAGTGAACTATTTCATTGCTGCACAAGTTTAAGTATGTTATTGTCCCCGTGTCTGCTGGGATGTAGAGTGCAGAACAGCAGAGTGCCTTAGCCAGAGGTCCTTATGTATTTAGCTTTTTAATGTATATTTAAAATTCTTCCACCTGATTTTGAGGTCTGAGTACCTCAGAGATGGTGTGAAGTTTTTTTTCCTCCAGTAACCTATAGTAAGTATTTTGTAATTATATAGTAGTTGTTTGGCTCTGCTTTTGTGTAGAAAATAGTTCATATAGCATGAGTAAGGTTGCTATTCCTTAAAAATGCCTGCTTGCAGCACAGTTTACAATAGCTAAGATCTGGAAACAGCCCAAGTGCCCATCAGTAGATGAGTGGATGAAAAAGCTGTGGGACATTCACACCATGGAATACTATGCAGCTGTAACGAAGAAGAATCTTGTACCCTTTGGGACAGTATGGATGGACCTGGAGAATATTATGCTAAGTGAAATAAGCCAGGCAGTGAAAGACAAACATCACATGATCTCGCTTATACGTGGAATCTAAAGAACTTAATAAACTGATGAACAGAATAGATTCAATGACATGGAAGCATAGATGAGACTGATGAATGTCAGAGGGATGGAGGAGGGCGGGTGGGTGGAGGGGGAGAGAGTAACCAAAGAATTTATGTGCAGATATGCACAACCCAAGGACATGGACAATGGTGGGGAGAGGGACTGGGGAGGGGGAAGGGATGGGGTGGAACGGGTTATTGGGGAGAAAAAGGGTCATCTGTAATATTTTAAACAAACAAACAAACAAAAAAGCCTGCTTGCAAGATGGGTCCTTGTCTGGCATCTGAGAACTTGGCTTTCAGGAGGGTTCTCACCCTTCCCAGGATGGAAGCAGTGGCTGACTGTGCCTAAACTCTTCCTAGAAACAGTGTGGCTTATGCTGAATGCCCCCTTCCCTCTGGGAGGCTGGATTTTGACACGTTCCCTGGAAACGGAGTCTCTGAGTGCCCTGGTGGACAGCATTTCACAAGGGCTGAGATAATTCCTTGCTGGAGTAGCGAAGTGAGATCCATCGGGAGGCACTGCTGGCGCTTGTGCCGGGGCGCCGCCGCCTTCCCCCGGGCGCCTTTCCCTGGGCTGACGTTGCCTGTCCGTCCGCTGTAACAAATCAGGGCACAGCTGTCGGCCGCGTCCTGTGAGCCCTGGCCCATCACTGGGCCCGGAGGGTGTCCGGCGGACCCTGCCACAGCTCGCCTACTGTAATTTAAGTGATCTGGAATAAATATATTTATATAATAAGTAAATGTATTGTCATGAAGTTGGATGTTTACATAGTGCAGGAAAAAGAAAAAAGAAAGCTACATCTTTATTCCAATGACACTATAAATGCTCTGTGACCTGCTGTTTTTCAACTTTGAGTTCTAGATTGTGTTCATGCAAGCACTCATGAGTGTGCTCTGCTTATTTTATAATCTTGGGCCTCAGTCTTCCTGGTCCTCTAAAGCCCTGCTTTTATGACCCGAGTATAAGCAATCTGTTTCAAAATTCGTTTCATCTGGACACTGAGTTTTCTAAGAGTGTTATTAGGCTGTCAAGATTAATCATGCTGTAAGGACCACAGAAATACTGGGAACATACTTTTGAGTCTGTCTTTCCCTGTTTCCTACACTGGTAGTTCATTGTTTTCTTAAACAAAGGGCAATTATTTATAAGATGTTACAGTGTTAGCCTCATAAGACTAGTTTGTTTTTGTTTTTTAACTTCTCTTATTTATCTAATTTTGGAAAATGTACATAACCAGACAATATTTTTAACTTTTGCTTTCCATTTGCTGCTACTAAATTTAAAACTTTAGTTCTGGCTTTTCTTTTTCCTGAATGTATTTCTTGAAACTTTGCTAAAAAATAAAACTTTCTAGCTTTTGTTTCTTTACTGTTTTTTGTTGTAGTTTGTCCCTCTGTAACATTTCATGTATCTCTTTTCTGTCTCTATAGAGGACACACCTACTTTACGATTCGTTAGTGATTCATTAAAAATATTAGTTTGTTTTTTTGCTTTCATATTTTTATATATTTTTTAATTTTTGTTTAAAATATTACAGATGTCCCTTTTTCTCCCCAATGACCCATTCTGAAAGCACTACGAGCTTCACTTATTCCTATCAGTTTAATCTTGTGAATTTTAAAGGATTTTACATTGTTTAGACCTTGTTTCAGGTTAAGAGAATTGAAGAGGTTTAAAGAATATAATTTAGTATTTCTTAATCCATTAGAACTTTTTAATTAGATGTCCCATTGTCGTCGTTTCTTTTCTGATTATCGCAGGAAATTTTTTTTCTATTCCTCCATGCCAAGAATCTGTCTACCCATGTGGTAACAGTTAAATATGTCATTTTCTTTTAATATGTTAAATACAGTTGTATTACTCCTATAGGTCAAGAAGAGAATAGATTAAATAGTGCAGTAACAGGAATCAGAGAGCATTTAGTAACTCTACCCTTAATCAACTCTGTGATACTGGGCGATATTTTCTTTTCAGTTATTGAATTCATATCATCTCCATTTTCTGGTTTTCATTGCATTACAAATCACTGGCTCTTTTTTTTTTTTTCCTGTTCTTTTACCTTTGTAGGTATTAGGACACAGTTTTTACATTTGAACCTGTGTCTACCTGGAAAACATTCAGTCCATGATATTTTATGTTGGAAATTGACAGCTAATGTACACAGGCCCAAGCTGGTGATGTAAATGAGTAAATGGGGTCAGCACACGGAATTGTGGAGTGACAGGGACTGGGAAGAGCTAGAAAATAAGTTTCATCTACAGAAATTCAGATTGAAAAATTAAAAGTACTCTGCAAACTAAACAAAACATTAGATCAGGCCCAGGGATTGTTTGTGATCTCTGGTTTAAATATTCATATCTTCATACATCTACCCAAGATATTGAGTATTTAAACAGGTTCTCTTCCAACTCTGCTGTATTTTTGGCTAAAAATATCTTTCAATTTACTTCCACAAGTAAAATATACATTAGCAGTCAAATGGCCAAATTAGAGAGGTATGTGTTTTTTAAAAAATTGTTTACAAAGGATTATTGATGTGCAAATTTCATGTTTTCTTTCTGAAACATTCATATAACCATCTTGTTAAGACATATAGACATGCTTCCTTTCAGTTTTGCTATGAGCCTAAAAATGCTCCAAAACTAAATTTTATTAATTTAAAAAATTGTATTATTGGAAATTTCTATCCAAAATAAGTACTTTTAATATTGTGCAGTAGTAGAACACCTCTTTGTTTTTATTCTTTGTTGTTGTTAAAGATTTTTTTTCTTAAACCCTAAATGAATATGCAGTAATAGGAACCTAAGAAATCCTACTTTCCCAATGACTTGGATCTAACAATCTTAGAACTTCCTTGCTTCCTTTCATAGCTCTTGGATTACTTGGATTTCTGGTTTCTCTCTTTTTTTTCCTTTCTTTTTTTTAACTTTTAGTTTTCAAAACTTAAAGTTAACTTGTTTAAAGCAGTTAATCCAACAACACTCATTTTTCCCGAAGTTTAGATTTACAGCTTTGGAGTTGATGTAAAAGTCGACTTAATCTCCATTATGTCAGATTGCTCTTTAATATATGGAAGGTTTAAAAAAATACATAAATTTCAACTGGGTTAAAGATTTGTGTATGCTATTACTGCTTTGTCGTTAAACTAAATGAGCTATTAAAGTCTTAAAACCACAGTTATAATAAGATAGAGAATTCAACCAAAGCTGTACGACTAAAGAAAATACTAATTGCTGTTGCCCTCTTTTCAATTGTCCAAAATAGGCTTGTTCATGGGGTGTTTTTAATGGAGTTATAGCAGGTCTTTGGGCCTTTTTTCCTGTTTTAATGGATGCAGGACTCTTTAACTTATAAAACTTTTTAGTTTATTAAACATGTGTTTTTTTTGTGATTAGGTCTTTTTTTTTACACCTACAAAATAATAGTCTAGTAAATGTAATACTGCTTATTATGTGATTGATTTTGTCTTTTTTTTTATGTTTTATTCTGAATTGCTGTTGTTTGAAATTGTAGAATGGGGAAATATTTTAAAGCAGACAAATATTGAAGGCAGTTTTTCCACTGATAGTGGCATTATATTTTCTGAAAGGAGAAACTATGTAACTTTGGTTGCATTATATGAAAAATCTTGTGAAAAATTGAGAGATAAGTAGCGGGTCTTGTTTTGCTTTTGTTTTTGGGTGAGCACTACTGTGCAGTTGTTACTCTGTGGTTGTGAGAACACAGCACTGAACAGACAGATCCCTGCGCCTTGACCTGACCTATACATATTTTCTCAGTTTTTTGTAGATATTAAGTGATTTTGTGGCTAAATAAATTGAATCATTTTCCTTTTAGAATGAATTTCCTCAAAGAAATGAGACAAATGTTAGTAGTTTTCTGGGATTTATAGGATGTATTTCTTAAACATCATGATTCTTAAGGCAGAGATTTATAATTTTAATTAATGCTCTCAGCAAACAATGTATAACAATTAAGGAAAACACTATGTATTAAATATATATTTCTGTAATATTTTAGCTGGGAAGTTTTAAGATTCCTTCTGTCAAACATAAGATGGTGGTTAGAAGAATATGGCTTTGACGGGTTTCGTTTTGATGGCATTACTTCCATGCTCTACCATCACCATGGAATGGGTAGGTAATTGCATCTATTACAGACGTAGCTAATGATTGATGTTACTGTTTTACTGGCAGATTACAACCAGGTTTGGGGTTCAGTTATAGAAGCTACCATGACTGTTATTATTGGCTTGACTTTTGTTATTTCCATTGCATGTCTTTCTCTAGTCACTTCTGATCCCTTTTTTGGCAAGAGGTTGTATATAAATATATTTCATAAGTAAATGAAAGCTAATTATTTTCTTATATTTAATAGATGCTATTCTTAATATGAAGCTTTCTTCTAAAAATGTGTTTTAAGGAAATCATTTATTGCAGCAGCCTCAGGATATGTACACAATAGCATTTACAATGAAAAATAAATAACAAAAATCATAAATGAGAACATTTGTGAATGTGTGGGTTCCTGCATATGAACCATTGAAGAAAATATGCATATTTTAAATATATGTACTCAGTTTAAGCTAAATTATAAATTAATTTATAATAAAAACTATTGATCAGAGTTCGTTAATTTAAAAGTTGTACAAAGAAGCAGGTTCACAGAATCTAATTGTTCAGTATATAACATGTCAAACTATTATGTTTTAGTGGTCAAATATTTACCAGCAACAACCAATCCAGAGAAGGGACTTGAGACTGTAGATCTTGAAAGGTGCCTGCAAAGGGAAGAAGCTGTATTCAGTGTGCTGCTGTCTGCAAACCACAGGGCACAGGCATGGAGATTGTCCCATGAAATGTTCCCAGGCACGAAGTTGAAACTATAAAATGTGACCAGTTTCATTCACATTCTCCAGTTTGGAGAGTAGCTTATTTAGGGGATGAAAAAGGCAAGCATGGCAAAATTCAAGAGCAACTTCTGCCAGATTGAAACATCTACATGGTCCTGCAGAACCTCCCTCTGCTGAGGGCTAGGAATTTTCCAAGGAATTCTGGAATTGGGGAAATGAACTGAAATCCATGAATGTGGGATAAGCTTTTTATGGGTAGAAATGATAAAGAAAAACATTCTGAGTTACTTAACATGTTTCTCCTCTTGAATAATAAGGAAAAACCCCCACACTGAAACTGCACTGCAAAAGAACACATACCAGAAAAACAATTGAGATTAAACAATTAACAGTAAGACACAAAAGTGTTTAATTCATAAAATTCAGTGCTAAGGAGAAATTCATTAGGTGACAACTAGGAAGGAAAATCAACTTACGTGCATGGATTAAAAAAAGGGGGGGGGGTGTCCTACTATTCTGTTGCCAATAGCAATGCCTATAACATTCTTTAGTTTTTGTCTTTGTTTAGTCAGTCCTCACCTAAGGATATTTTTTCCATTGCTTTTCAGAGAGAGTGGAAGGGTGGGAGG